AGCCAGCCCAATCATCCTGGACCTGGTGATCCTGACGGAGCTCTGTGAGCGTATTGCTGTCAGACCTCAGGGGGAGGAGGACTTCCAGTCCTTCCACAGTGTCCTGGCCCTGCTCTCCTTCCTCTGCAAGGCCCCCCTGGTCCCATCAGGGACCCCGGTCATCAACGCATTCTTCCGCCAGAGGGCCAGCATAATAAACATCATGAGGTATGGACAGGGCTAGCTTTAATCAGCTTAAAATGTTCTTTTCATTTTGCCAACAACGTCCTCTTTTCATTTTATTACATTATTGGTCAAGTTATATCATCATTGGGTTTTATCACATCCTTTATCACATCCACAAAGGTTACGGTGTGATTACATTTTCAGGAGCTTATTCTATTGGGTGTTACAATGCTTATAAACAGGTGTGCTATTTATGCGCTTAATTCGGTGACAGAAGTTGATAACAGTCTCCCGCCTTGTCTTTTTCAGAGCGTGTCTGGGCCTTCCTCCCCAGAACCACATGCTGCTGGAGCACAAGCTGCAGAGGAACTTCCTGCCTCCACAAGCAGCCTACATCAACGGTCATGTGACTGCTTCAAAGAAAGTAGTCCTCACCAATGGTAACCATGTGCCGCTAACAAATGGCATCCATGCACAAGGCGGCGACGCAGACATTGCATTATGACTGCAAATACAACACTACAGCCCAACAAGTGAAACTTGACAACACTTAACTGTAAAGTTGATTAGTCTATCATTACAAGAAACAATAACACTGGTTTTACAACTTTCAAAGTAAACTTGACATTTATGTAGGATGCATTTAACAACATAGGTATTCAACAAGTTTTGGCCTATTAATGAAAAATGGCATGGTGCTGCAACATTTAAATATTATTAATTCAGTCGTCCTCTATAGCTGTTGAGCATCAACAGAAGCATATATGGAGTACACTTCAATCATCTCCACGTGGCGTAACAGTGTTCAAACCAAGCTATTTTGTTAAAAATATCTGTTTTTTTTTAGGCAGAGTTAACCATGTACTGAATATTTTAACGAGTAAAAGCTTTTTATTTGCTTGGAAGTAGTTTTGTGTGTGCAATGTATATTTCATATCCAATTGTACAGTAACGTTCTTAGAAATATGTTTAACGAACATGAAACTGATCGTGCAGCCGTTTAAAAAAACGTTATTGATAAATGATGTATTTGTTGTTTGATGATCGAAGGCCATCTTCCTAACGTAATGTATGTTATGTATATCACGGCCATTACGTAGACATCCATATGTTTTGTTTAAAGATAGATGATGAAAATATGGATGCTGTATTGACTGTTTTGGTTAGCAATAACCTGGGCTGTTATCATGTTCTATACAATAAACCTTAACATATTGCTTAAACTTAACATTTCTAAGGAATTAATTGTTGTGTTCTGTGTACTTTTCCCTTTATTGAGCCACATCTGAAGTTACATGTATTTTATTTGCATTAACGAGCAATGGCGTTTGTTGCAATATGACACACCATATGAAAACACTTGCTAATGGTAAAAAAATAATGGGTAAGAACAATGTCATCTACTGTTTTAAAATGTTATTTGTTTACATCTATTCCTCAAACCGTTTCTGATTCAAAATTAAAATTAAACTGTACAAACATTAGCTTCCACATATTAGGTTATTACTTAGGTTGTAAACACTTTATTAATCATTAAGAACCATTTATAAACCAGTTCTAACAGTTTTCATACATCAACACATGCTCACTATTTGGCAAGATGACTAAGCCTTATATTGGTTACCTAGCTTACTTTTCCTCTTCATTCAGCCAAACATCCTTGGTATCTGTTGTTCACCGAGTTGATTCTCCCCCCAAATGGGAATGTGTTTTACACTTTACAATAAGGCTCCCTTTTGGCAGTTATACATGTTAGTAACTCATTCATTATGGTCATAAGAGATGCCAAGAAACATGAAGATGGAAGGGGGGGAAATCAACTCAGTGAACAACAGATACCAAGGATGCTTGCCGATGAAGACGAAGTAAGCTAGGTAGCCAATATAAGGCTTAGCAGTACAGATAAATGTGGGCTCACTATTTGGCAAGCAACCGGTCACAGTTGCCCTGTTTATCTCATGTCCTGTGAAAGCTTATTAATGATTTATAAAGTGTTCACAACCTAATTCATAAATTCATTACAAACTATTCGTAAACCCTTTATAAGGGTAGTCTTATTGTAAAGTGATCTTAGCCTGTATTATATCTGCACTAGTATGTCAAATGATTCATAACTGTGGTGTAACAATTTAGAATGTTGTTATTATTCCATATTCTTAATCTGTGTTTCACTAAACAGAAGCATCGTGTTCAGATTTAATTTCAGTAAATAAAATGGATTTCACAAAGAGTGAGAGGAATGGGAATTAATGAGCACCTTAGGATCAGAATCCCTACGCGCCCCAGAACGGACTATTTGACGCGTCAGACAGCGTCCCTAGTAACCAGCAGACAGAGCGGAGTGATTTTGGAGACATATCTTTTTTAAGGCTTTCGGCTGTTGTAGAAATCGGATAATTTCGCTTATTTTTCTTGCGATATGTAACACCGAAATAAAAGGGTCAATTTCCTGTCTTCCGACCGGTATTAAATCACTTCCGTTGCTGCATCACGGGAAGTAGCTATGGCGGACAAGGAGAAGCGCCGGTCCGGGGCAGCTCCTCCAGGGATGCCCGATGGGAAAGCCACCAAATCGGACTGCGACAGGGAGTTTCTGTCGCAGGCCGGGGTGGGAGAGCTGCTCCGCGGGGCCATTCTGAAGATGGTGGAGGCCAGGTCGGACGATCCCATCGGGTTCCTGGCCGACCACTTCTGTAACCTCGCCTCGGTGACAGAGCCCGGCACAGTTGGATGCGGCGATGCGGATCAGATGAACAACGGGCCGCAGAGCGCGCAGGAGCAGCAGCATCTTAATCGGGCTCTGTGGCACCTGCGGCTGGCACACCACTCCCAGAGGTCAGGGCACAGAGATTTACGGTCCTAACCCACAACCCTTCGACATTGCTTTTTTGAACCAAATATTATTCTAATAGAACATATGATTATACTTCAGCAGTCTATTTAATTAAGCAAATGTTATCTTTTGCTCTTTGTAATCTTACATTAGTGTAATTTTGAAACCTCTATTGTGATATTTAAAACCAATTAATCATTGCTCTCTGTGCATGTTTATGAGAGACTGTAGAAGTATGTTGTTTTTGGGTCTGTGTGACCAATGTAGTCAATTATTTTTCATAGTCAATTGCACTGATAAGAAACTGCAACATGTAAATTCTATAGTGTAACAAATGGCTAATCCTTGGTAAATTATTTACTGTTTATCTTCCTTCACCATGACACTTACGTTACTCTTGTATCTTTTCAATTCACCAATTAGATGGGGGAACTGCACAATTGATTGATTTATTAACAATTTTTCAACATTACCAACTACCGCCTTAGAATATTTTAAGAACCCTTGACAGAATGTGATAAACGACGATTAAAGACTTAATTATTGTCAGTCACTCAACAGAAAGAGATTTTGCATTATCTGTGGCAAAATAATTTCCTTCAGAATGAACAAAAAGTTTTGTTTTATCTTGTATCTTATCTTACATTTGATCCCATTTCTCATTTTAAACCCAGATCTGCCTTCAACAACAACGTCTGTGTGGCCTACGACCTTTTGAACAGCACCGGGCCTCGCAGACGTCCAGCTGAGGTTCCTGAGTGCCCTGAAGGCTCCTGTAACGACAGCCAGACAGAAGTGGGAGGGGGAGTGAGGGGAGGCCTCTACACCCAGACTCTGCAGTGCCTGTGCAGTGAAGGTGGAGTCCCTGCCTCCACCTCCGCCCCGCTCCTTCGACGCCTCCATTGCCAAGACCACGAGGCCGTCCCTTATGATGTCTTCCGTCACGGTGTGCTCACATGTGCAGTTTTCTCAGACTACATCCGGCAGGCTCAGAGGCTTTACGCTGAGGTGTGCTGCCCTGACGAGGGGCCTGCCTCGCGGGCACTTGGCCTGGCCGTGCTGGGGACCTTAAGGGAAGCCCTGGAGACTTCACAAGGCAGTGAGGCTAACTGCTGTGTTAATGCTAATACTAAATCTAATTCCTGTCTGGAGGCTAATGTTAAAGCTAAGCGCTACCTGGAGGCCAGTGCCAAGATTTCCCCATACAAGCTTGGTCAGGCCATGGCTACAGCCCAGACAAGAGGCCCGGGGGGGGATATGGATGCAAAGGAGTTTGAGAACGCAGCCGCAGAGCTCTTTATCACTCGGGTGAAAGTTTTGTCCTAGGTTTTTGTTGCCTGTTTCTCATAATTTATTAATGTAAAACAATCTGAAATATGTTAATAAATACCTTCTGTGCACCTCCTGTAACCTAAAATCTACACTTACAGATATTACCTCTGCTCAAGAATGCCACTCAACCCTATAATTCCATTGTTTGGAAGATAACACTTGTTGTAAAGCATATTGTTTGATGTCTATAATTCAACTTAATAAAGTGGAAGAGATCTTAATTTAACTAAAATTTGAAATGTAATCATTTAATAACAGTGTCTTCTTTTGACATTAAATTATTCTGGGTACAAACATTAATCATTTAAAACAATATTTAAATGCATTCCTGTCTATTGCATGCAGCTATTGGAAAACATTTAGAAAAGTTACCAACAATACTTTTTTTTTTTTTCATGAAATGTATTATGTCTTTTATACTGTATGCTAAAACAGAAAAGTCAACAAATAGGCCCAATCTCCATTTACATGTGTATATTTTAATTTGTATTTGTTATAAGAGTTATATATTAGCCAAAATAGACTATATATAAAGCTAGTGACATACAGGACATACAGTAATCGGCAACACTTCTTACATTCATCCACTAGATGGCAGCACCAGCAGAGGCTGAAGACCGACACAAACAGAAAGAAAGCGGAAGTACACCACTTTGCGCTTTGTAGTGAAATGACAGTAGCGTTACCTGCAGAAACACCCGAGGCTCTTCATTTACATTACATTACTGTCACCACTGTACCTTAATGCCGTGCGTGTTGCCTCGTGGTTGCACTTGTCCACATGGAGGAAGAGGAGCAGCTGCGGCCCTTCATGTTCCTGATGACTTACATGATGCTGAAGCGCAGGAGAGATTTATACAACGCGAACACTCAGAGGCGCGGTGAGATCCAGAGACGCATCAGACATCGGCAGTACTTCCTCCAGAGGCAGAGGAGGACGCTCATGGTCAGTCAGTCCCTCTCTGGCTCTTTTCATATCCAAGCATATTCACCGTCATATGTGAAGGCTAAATATGGCAGTCAATCAGGCTACATTACACGTATGGATTTATAATGAAAATATCCAAACATTATATTTGTGGTTTGTAAAAACACTATTTGTGTGAGACTTATTCATTAAAGTAAGCTAGAGACCCTCCCAAACCCCATCCCATTTACTTTTCACATTTTACAGTCAATTGGGTCCAGTGTTTGTCTCTTCCTCTTACAACTTATTTTTTAACAACCGCTGTGGAAAATACAGACGTATAGAGTATCTATTGGAAGAGGAACTGAAATAGAGCTGCAGATAATAATACATTACAAAAAGGAAAATAAAACCAAAATCCTGCAACTGATAAACCTTTCAAACAAATCAATGCTCTTCAGAGTTCTTTACAAGCAAGGACTTGCATGGTAATTAAATACAATGAAACAAGTCATGATCATTCACAGAATATAGTAACAAATAAATCATAAAGATGATTATGACATCTCTCTGAATAGTATAACTTTAAAATATAAAACCCTACAACAGAGCCATGATTAAAAGATTGGTTACTGGTTTTAAAAATATCTATATTTCTGCTCAAATACCAGAAAAGTGGCAGTTATACAAACAAAAATAAAAAGTAAAGACAGGTGCTAGGCTGCATAGATCTCAACAAAGGCGCAGAAAAAAAACACAACAATGTATGTTTGTTTTGACATCTGTTCTTTATCTGTTTGTTATATTAGCAATGATAGAAGTATAGTTTGTTATTGTACTAACCGTAGCAGGTTATATTTATTGTTTTTATATTTATGGCCTTAGATTTCCCTGCTAGAATTTGTCCTCACGCCATTATGTTGTCAAATGTTGTGAGAGTTGTGACTAGTGAGATAGAATTATGTGAATTAATTTAAAGAAAAATGTAACTTTTATGATGAATCTTCTTCTCCCCAGATGATGATAGCAGGAGGTATGCGCTCCAACGTCCGCGTCCGCACACGTCCATGGTCCACCACTCCAAGCACTGATTGGTGGGAGCGGGTGGTGATGACAGAATTCCAGCCCTCTGATTGGCTCAATAAGTTTCGAATGAGCAGGGAGACGTTCTTCTACCTGTGTGACAAGCTGAGGCCCCGTCTGGCTCGCCAGGACACCAGCTTCCGCCTGGCGCTGCCGGTGGAGAAACGCGTAGCAGTGGCTCTGTGGCGCCTGGCGTCCAACATCGAGTATCGCACCATCAGTACCTTATTTGGAGTGGGGAAGTCCACTGTGTGCAGGTGTGTTAGGGACATGTGTCACGCCATCGTGGCACTCCTCAGCTCCATCTACCTGCGGCCGCCCAGTGAGCAGGAGCTGGAGGACTCAGCTCGGCTCTTTCTGTCCAATTGGGGCTTCCCTCACTGTGTCGCTGCCATAGCAACACTCCACACAGCCATCATCACGCCATCAAACAACGCGTCCGATTATGCCAACCCTGCAGGCTGGCTCTCAGTGCTGTCGCAGGTAGAGAGGGCACCCAAAAGTGCTGTTGAAAATATTTGTTTGCTTTTTTTCAGATTTTGACCTTGTTCCTCTTTCTGTGTCTTTTGTGTTTCAGGTGGCTGTTAGTGGCCGGGGGCAATTCTGGGATGTATGTGCCAGTTTCCCAGGTGGGACGGACCCAGCTGACATCTTCCAGAACTCATCACTGTGTGCCACAGCTGCAGAGGGAGGACTGTCGCCTGCCCTGCCACCTGTCTTCATGGGAAATTCACTCCGGTGAGTTAAAAGCATGACGGTTGAGTCAGGGTTCAATTCAGTACTAAGTAGGTCACATGTCTCACAAACATAAACAAAATGATCTTTTGTCTCAATGACCCAACCCTTGTTAGCTAAATTCTTGATAAATTCAAGTAAACAGGGGCTGCGTTTACGAACAGCAATACTATTATAAAAACATCTGTTTACATATTTCCTACATCACGTAAAGTATAATCCAAGTCGTATTACACACTTGGTCTCAAGTGCCATTGCTCACAATGACCATACACTTATATCAAATTCTAAAACTTTACTATATAAAACACTTCAGCATAAACAGTTTCGCACCAGCAAACTACAAGTCGGTGCAAGTATTTTCAATTGGTAAGGTGTTAGGCTAATGGATCCTCTTGGATTGAGCTTCTTCTCCTACAACATCCGATACACAAATGTGCAGTACTACACATTTAAGGCCATTGTGTTTAAGATTTTAATTGTTGCGCCATAATTGAACCTCAGACCAGTTATGCCCCTTTCACACCAACGCGTTTTCAGCTCCGGCTCGGAGCTGGAGCCTGAAAAGTACCAGTTTTTCCTGTTCACACCGCAGCGGCGCCGCCTCTTAGCTCCGGAATCCGGTTCACTTCCAGCTCCAAAAAATTGTCGGTCTAGACTCTAGAGCATAGACTGTATATATAAAGGTCTAGAGCAGGGGTCGGCAACCTTTTTGACAAGAGCTTCGGAGCTAAGATGTGGCTTCACTTACGTCTCTCTTACGTCGAGGCGTGCAGGAAACTAAACCCACCTCCCCTGAACATGGGTCGACTGAAGAGTCTCGTCATGCCTGCCTACAAGCACTAGTGCTTATAAACACACTTTATAAAGTCAAGCAACACTAACCAGGCTTCGTGTGATTCTGTTTATTTGTACCTTACTTTGACCATCCGTTCACTGTTATTGATCATTGTGGAGAGCAGGCAGACGTTTTGTTTTGTATTATAGCAGCTATCGGATGGAATCAATACATGGGCTGCACAGGTTGTCGTGTCCGACTATCACAAGTAGAATCATAATAAAAATATGCCGGTAAAATGTGCCTGAAGAAAACGGCTTATGCCACAATAGGATAGCAATAGCAAGTAGTCAGTTTAGCTTCGGTTGCTATGCTAACATCACCCATTTTATACCAGAGAAACTTTAATAACAGCGTTGTGATGCCAAACAGCGTCAATTCAGACTGACACACATTCACTTAAGGGGAACTGGGGATATGTATCAGCTGCTTGTGTGACAGTCAGACAGTGAATAACTTTAGAGCGGCCGCTGCAGTGTGAGCTAACCGGGAGCTAACGGGAGAATAAACTCCCTGTGGAAGAGCAGCCAGCACTGCAGCGGTCGGTAAATGCCGCTGAAACACATTAATAAACAATGAACCATGCACTCTGGAGAAAAGCATAAGGTTGGAGAAGTCGTTATTTAATTTAATCTGGCTTCGTGTGATTAAAAGCAACACGATCATCGACGCGACGCAGTCCCCCATTGTTGTTGTTGTTGTTGTGAGCGCCGTTGGGGAGCAAATCAGCGATTTAAACGGTGACGTCATGACGCAATAGCGGCTGCACCAGTCGGGCTCTGGGCGGTGTGAACAGAGCGGGAGCAGAAAAGGGAAACCGGAGCTGAACCAGAAAAGCTCTAGCTCGGAGCTAGAAAGGGAAGCGCTGGTGTGAAAGCCGCATTAGTGCTGCCACAATCCTCTCAAACATGCAACATATTTACAATTAGTATCCGACCAAACTGGTTTAAGCTGGATAGGAGCTTACATTTTGCAATGCTTAGTCATTTTTGCATGTAACAATCATCTGTTGTATTCAGGTATGTGCTGCTGGGGGAGGCCTGCTACCCTCTGCAGAGCTGGCTAATGAAGGCCTATCCTGAGGAAAAGGGCAGGGGCAGCAGCACAGCACTGACCCAGCCACAGCGGCTCTTCAATGGGCAGCTCACCAGAGCGCTGCGTGTGTCTGAGGAGGCTCTGCTAAAACTCAGGGCACGCTGGCAGTGTCTGAGCAAGAGGAACGACTGTGGACTGGACGTGGTGCCCACCATGATTCTAGCTTGCTGCATCCTGCACAACATGTGTGAGTCCCACGGAGACGCCTTCAGGGCAGAGTGGCAGGTGGAGGTGACAGAGGCAGAGAGCCCTCAGCCCACACACAGACAGCCTTTAACCCACAGCATCGACCAAAGTCAGGCTGAGGAGGTCCGACAACTCTTCCATGACTATTTTGAAGAACAGAATAATTAAAAAAGTCTTTCTAAACAAAAGACTAAGCTAAGTACATGTACTTTAAAGTGGACCTATCATGCTATATTTGAATAATATATTGTAGGGCCATACCTATATAAAACATGTTTGTGAAGTTTTTTTTTCAAAATACCAAACAGATCAGGCATATTATATACGTATATATATTTGCTCTATTCCAGCCATGTCTTCACAAGGGCTGATTCTGTGGCAAATGAGCTTCAGCTGACCACGCCCCCTGCAAAGGAGGGGGGCGAGGCACGAGCGTAATGTTACCATGCCACGCAACCTCTCATTCCCCTGATAGGTGGAGAGTTGCCCATATAGGCGGAGCACCCCGTTTCTGAAGTCAGAACAATTTCAAATCTGCATCAATCTGTATCAGATCTGTTGCAGCCCCGTTTTTAGAGATTTGGGTATGGAGGAAAAGAGAGAGGGTTGTGTTTTCTGACACTTGGTGAGTTCCCTGACACACCGGGGACACATTCATGTATAAAAGACGTACAAGAGTGCATTTTGCATGATAGGTCCACTTTAAGTATTTGTAATTTCAGTACTTTCCTTCAGGCTACTTCATACTTCAGATCTCAGAGGGGAAACATTGTAGTTTTTACTTCAATGCATTAGCTCTTTATTGTGTAATTAGTGATGCATCTGGAAGGGTCTATGACTGTCTATGTATCAAGACATTACACAATTTTTTTTTTTAACAATTTCATTACGTAGTGTATTTCTGTTAAATGAATAGGTACGTTTGTTGTATATTGTGTCATCTCATCATTGATTCTGTTTGTTTGTAACCAATGTATAATGTTAATATGTTGTACAAATGTGTGTACAAATGTAGAAAATAACAACAACAACAATAATATGAACCAATGGACTAACCCTAACCCTACCGAATGAATACATTGTGAACAGGTGTAACATACAACTCAACTCTAAGGCCACAAGATGTCACTGCTACCACAGCCATCGTTAAGAATGTGTCTTGTCTGATGCTGCTTGCAGTATAATGCAGTTAAGGATGAATTGATAAAAAGCAGATCCTTATTGAAATGTCCTGATGATCTATTACCATGATGCACCACACTTCCAAGGATCTTTCTCAGCAGTGCAGAGGATTGTGTAGCACTTAATTTAGCAATGATTGCACATGCATTGATATAGAAAAACAGCTCTTTCTTACTTATACACATCTGGTTTAGCATCTTCTCACTTGTGTGCTGCTCACTGTCGGATCCCACCCCGAGGACCCGCCTCGTCCATTCAATTGGTCTGTCACAAACCTGTTTCATGCATGCCTCCGTCTGTCACTCAACACCCCAGTTTCTCCTCCTCCTTGCCTGGCATCAGACTGGTGTGTGTGCCGACCTTGTTCCAGCGACGAGCTACCCCAAAAAGCCAGCTGTTTGCAGCGCATACATTTTTGGCATTAGCCACCGTTCCGGGCACGCATTTAACCCCCTCTTTCAGGGCTGTGGTAGTGTAGCCTTATATTTTACCGTGAAAATGAGCCAGGGCGTGATGGGGTGCTGCCCTGCTATCGCTAGCTAGGCGGACAAATTCCTTCAACCAGCTCGCTGTTCCAATCACTGCGGGTTGACACAACATTAGCTGAGGCGTTGTTAAGTGAGCTAGCGGGCTAGCAAGGCTGTAGCCGTTCCGTGTAATTTATCCTACGGTAGCTAATGTAGTTAGAAACGGACGCATTGCTGCGGCGTAAATAGTGCAATAACGGTTAATAACGGCAATCACTCTAACGTTAGCTTACTAGCACTACTTTTCACTATCGCTAACTAGCTAGCTAACGAGACTCAACAGAAATCAACTGTTACGCGTTTGGATGTCAAGACACTGCAGTTTTGAACCACTTTTGGGCGATTGTGGAGAAAAAATTGGACAACAGTGACAGATGCAAAGATAGAATTGGACCAGCGAATGAGAAGAAGGTGTTAATGATATAAACTAAGTGGCTAATCTGCGGCAGTAATTTTAACATTAGCCGTATTAAGGTAGAGCATCTCTGGGAGGCCCCACCGTCTCCTGACTCCCTCCCCCTGTCCGAATCTCCCGTGATTTGCCGAGAACACCCGGGTGAAGTCGCATTTGCTCTCGGCTTGGGGGGACGACTTGACAGCGAGGCCCCTTAGCTAGTATCCCCTCCCCCCAGTCCCATCCATCCGTCCAGCCCGACAGACCCACCCCTTCACCCCTGAGATCGAAGCGAAGACCGGGGATTCGGGATAAGCTGAAACCGTGTGCCGAGGTCCCGTCTTAACCGGGCTGCCAAAACTAGAGGAGATGACTCTGGAGTCCATGATGGCTTGCTGCCTGAGCGAAGAGGCGAAGGAGTCGAAACGAATCAATGCAGAAATTGACAAACAACTCCGCCGAGACAAGCGAGACTCCAGGAGAGAGCTGAAATTACTTCTTCTCGGTATGTGGCATGCTACATTTCATATACATGTGTATCACCATGTCTTGTGTCGTTGCAAGGAAAACTTGGGCCTTCTTGTCAATGCTAGCTCCTATGCTACTAGTTAAGGCTGCTAGCCTGGTTTCAGTATGAGTAACGTTATGGCATGATTTACAAAATGCGTGGTTTGTCTTGTAGCTTGCTGAGTAAAACAAGGGTTCGCTGGTAATATTGGGTGCATATCTACAAGAACTGGTCAGTCACATATTTTGGGTCTTTCCTCGAGTGTTTTGTCTTTGCATTGATGTGCAGACCACCGCTCATTTGGCATCGAAGTTACTAAGATGTCACCGTTTACAGGCTACCACATGCTTGTCAGTGGGCCAGTTTGACAATTTTGACTAGCCCTAAAGCTAATCAGTCGGTCAGATTCAAAGCTGCCATTCTGGTCAGCTAGAAGATGGTTGTTAAAAGGTGAAGATGGTCACTTGATAATAGAAGCAGCAGTACCAGCTTTGGATTGTTTTACACTGTTGCTTTACAGGTTGCATAACATTTGTACAATTGGGTGAGGTTTCAGGTGCCTTAGCTATACAATGCCTGGTGCCCATCCATTCATTTTTTATTTATTTACCTTCTTTATTAACTTGCACCCAGTGTCACACATCTACCCGTCCAGAGGACAGAGATACTGAGGGATTTGACCCCTCATCCTGGAGTCTAGCTGAGTAGGTTAGCTATTTTTATAGCTGGTGTGTGGGCAGGTGGGAGCTGCTGTTGAATAAGTTGCTCAGTACTGCATTGATTCATAGTTCTGTGGACACAGAAAGGAACATTAGGCTCTGCTTTATCACAAATGTACTATCATTGCTCTCAGGAAAATGTATTGTGCATGCACCTTTTTAACTGGCTTGTAGCTGTGTGTGCATGTGACCAGCCAACCACTTAAAACAACAGAGAGGTGTGAAAGCTCCTTGGAAAAAGCGTCAATTTTTAGGACAATTAGAATTATCTAGGTTGCATCCTTCGTTTCAAAACGTTTGCTCCCATTTCCTTGCCCACCAAAAGCAGTCCTGGTTATTTGACATGTGTGTCTCCTTTCATTTCCCTGCTGAATACCTCAGCTCGGATAAGTAGGCCACACTAGAGCCGTACTGTTGATGGGACACGTTCTATTCTTTGTTAAACCTTGTATTCACTCTTGCACCCTGTCCTACCTGGTGGTCAAGGTGAGCGTGTAAAAGTGCTGTTTTTGTGTCGCAGTTAAGAAATGCTTTGCTTCTTTGCTGCAATTATATTTCTCTGGACAGATGACCAATGGAGGGTTTGGGAGGACAAAGTGATTCCAGAATTTTGAAGAAAATAAGGAGATCATTTCCGCTCTGTACATAACATAGCTGGAGTATGTGGTGTTTTATATTATGCATGGTTTTGACAGCATACATCAAAATACACTTGAAGTGTCAGTGAGTGAAAGGCAGAAAGCAAGCAAGAACTGCAGTCAGTCATGTTGTAAGTGGCCCATCCTGTGTGAGTTAAGGCTGTCAGTGGACGCCTGGATAAGGACGTGTAAAGCAGGATTAGTCCAGGTCTTAATAGGCTTGGTTAAACACATCCGCTGCTGAGACTTTGAGATGTCACTGACTCCTATTATCCTCTGGCATTATTCTCAGGCCTGCTGCCCTCAGTGAGCTGCCGGCCTCTCTACAGCTCACTGGAGGAAAAGGACAACTTCTGTGGCTGAACACTTAATAACCATGCTCCATCAAGTGTATTACATTTGAAACTGAAGAAAATACACTTTCCAAAAGCTCAATGTGTCTAAAATGTGCATGTTTTGCCCGTGAAGATGTCCAAAATGTAATAAGTTTACAGAAATGAAAATGCAGATGTGGCAAATTCTTACATTTGAGTAGCTGGATCCAGAGAGTGTTTGTAGGCATTTTTCCAGATGGATAGATTCTAGCCTTCCCTGAACAAAGGGTTTTTCTTGCAATAATTCGGGTTCACCGTCCTCTCTGTGTCCCTCTCCCTTCCTGGAAGGGTTTACTAAATGGCCAGAGTGCATGCTAAAGAGCCGTGTCTTGACAAAACATTCAGGTTTGGTTTCTTTTTATGCCAGACACCTGCATTACATTTCCAGACTAAGTATGAGGTGAAAGACAGTTATGTAGGTAAAAGCTGTATCAACATCATGCTTAACCACATGGTCAGAAAAAAACCAATCTGCCAGGGCTGCAGCGGTGCCCACAGTCTGGCTGCCTGGGACTGAGGCCATATCAGGCCATACCGACAGCTTCCTGCTCCACAGACCAGTGGTTTGCCTCTACTTGGTCAAAACACAGTGGACCAGGAGCTGTGGCCTTTGCTGCATCGGGTAAATGAACTGCTGGAGCGAGCAAACGGTCAGTAAAGTGAGATGGAAGGGCAAACGCTTTAATGTTTCCCAAAGTGCTGACCGAGGCAAAGTGTTAGCTCTGTCAGTGTACCAGTTGGCATTTGCTTTTCAGGAAAATAAAGGTTTGACATGAAATATGAAGAACAGAATCTGCCTGGCAATCTGGGATAAATCCCTAGACAGATATTGGAAAGGCATTTTAGGTCATCAGGGAGTTTGTTAAGCACAGTGTTTAAGAAAGGGGTCAGACTGGGGCAAACCGTGTGGATGGCTTGCAATGTACAGCCGTTTTCCAAGTCCTCATTGATTGTGTTGTTGTTGTTGATCCTCCCCCTCTCAGCAGTACGTCTTGTTATCAGGTTTAAGATGTCTTTTAGAGCAACAGTCTGATTGAACCAGGAAGAGGATCAGGGTGTTTATTGCTGACCTCCCTTCTCTTGCCAAGCCGTCTTATTTTGATCATATATGGCAATAGGGATCTTCTAGCTCTACTCCTCGGTGGTTGTGTGATCCCCGACTTGTAATGCCATTGAATGTGAAGCTATGTGGATAGCCGTTTATGCTGAAATCCCCTTTTATCATGGTCCGCTAACGCCTATTACAATGGAAACCCTCATTAGAGAGGCTTTTGCAATATTTGGGAGTTAAGTAATTGATAACATTTTTGATCATTTTTATTTTATTTGTATATTTTTTAACATAAATATATAATAAGCATTTTTGATATGTTCTTGGGGCGGGACCCTTTCACAGTTGTATCATGCATTTATACAAATAATTTCGTAAATCAATCAAGCAGCAAAATAGAGAGGCTACATTTATGGGACAAAACCATATCTACTCAAAATTATTTAATCATAAACACATTTACAGTATATACACGTATGGTGATGACACAACTTAAAAGTGGGTTTAATTAAGCACCGTTGACTCCAAGGTTGGTAACCAGTGGCCAGTTACAATGACTTGGAATATTGAACTATGCAAGTCGGGGCTTAACAATTATTTGTATCTTTATCAAAGTTGCAATATGCCATACTATAAAAAATGTAATCGCCAGAATGTAATATTTGTTTAAGGACTATCCATCATATCATATAAACCTATACAGAAATCACACCATAATTAGAATATTTATATAAAACATTTAATTCCCCCTTGTATCATATCGGAAATGCAATATCCGTGAACATAGTCACAATTGGATATTTCTTCCAAGGTCTTTTAGCCGTAGGATTAACATTTTAAATGTCTGTCTTTTTCAAGTCATTTTAATTCAAAGTTCCCTCACTTTTGTAATCTTGAAGTCACAGTGTAGTAAGCAAACAGTCTGCATCACAGAACATTCTGTAAATGTTCAGGTAGTCAAACATAGCCAGCCCTGCACACACTCTTTGTCTCTCTCTACGACACGGTGTCTGTTACACACTCGCTCGTATTGCTCACCAGTGCACATGTGAACACGCACACATACTTAAATGGGGTCATGGCTGGTTCTCTGGAGGTATAAGGGTGAATGAGGCTAGATGGTGACTGTCCCACATACTGCCGCTACCTCGGTCCCCAGACAGAACGGGGACATAGCCTGCCTCTTAGTTCACTGCCAGTATCTTCAGTCGCTCTGCTGACAGGGTGGCATGTTCACTGCTGTTTACTCCCACCAGCTGCTGCGTACAGTAAAGCCCACACGGCTCTGTGATCGTACGTTTAAACTTCTGTCACTTCATCTTTTTCAAGTTGGATTTGGAATGATGAACCGTGCTTACACTTCTAAAAATGTTTTGCAGGATGTTAGGCTTGCAAGGTTGTACATTTTAGTGTAGTCCAAGTCAATGCGCACCCGAGATGTGCATATGCCCATGTGCGGACATGGACTGATGTTATCTCATAGAATCTCAAAGAGGAGATCCTCTAAAATAAGTGCCATGGCTTAAGAAATAATGTCAACATCTAGGATTTGGCTGTTTCTAGTTAATAGCAGCCGAGCACAGTGTTTGTATTGCAGACTAAAATACGGCTGCTTGTTCCAAATCTTTTGTAAAGCCTGTATTAGATTTTTGTGCTCACCCACACCCACTCGACGAGAGCAGCACTCAGCGCATACTCACTGGTGAACAGACAAAGCCATCCTAAGGTGGTCCAATGTAGGTGTGCAAGTTCACAAGTGTGTGTATCATGTGCATGCTATAGAATGTATATTACATTTACAGCTCTGACACCCACGCACATTACATGGAGCACTCGGCAGAGACATGAGCACAGAGCAGTTGTGTTGAGCACAGAATCTGACATGCAACAGAAACAACTCCTGTTGGAAGTGTGTGTGTGTGTGTGTGTGTGTGTGTGTGTGTGTGTGTGTGTGTGTGTGTGTGTGTGTGTGTGTGTGTGTGTGTGTGTGTGTGTGTGTGTGTGTGTGTGTGTGTGTGTGTGTGTGTGTGTGTGTGTGTGTGTGTGTGTGTGTGTGTGTGTGTGTGTCACGGCAGGAAAAGGAAAGACAGAAAAATGGGCCATCTCAATGAAGGTAACATCCATGCCTTAAGGTTGACGACAGGATCCGTGTGCACAGTTGGTTAGGCAGCTGGTGTGTGTTGTGTAGCTCCGGGCTGCCTTGGCTCAATCCCTT